TCTTTAGGATGTTGTCCTGTGATTGTTGAAACCTGGATCTTGAGAAACCATAATATCTTATACTGTAAGACATTTTTGTAGTAAAAATCTTACACTTTATTATGTTACATGTTATGTTACATTATGTTATTTTATATTTTTATGTACGCCTGTAGTATATAAATTTTTGGTAAGTTATAAATATGGATGATTTTTGTTTAATCACCAAACTTACAATAGTGTTTAATGAATAGTAATTATGATCAGACCTTGTACTTACAACCAACAGAGTTTCCCTCAGTAATGTGAACATGATCTGGGCACTTGGCACCCCACTTGCAGTTATGACATCACAGTGTCCCATGGTCACACGATTGTGCTTTGTGACTGTCACTGTTGGCTTCCCACAAACAAAATCAGTGGTGAAACCGACACCTTTAAAATATGAGAATCAGATCGTAATAATTTGCCTCAGGAAACAATATTTTGGTATTTAAACTTGTTCACTTTGGAGAAATGATTGAACATTGCAAATGCATCATTTTACAAAGCTAAAGAACTCATTAGAAATCATGTTATCTTCTTATACAATCACCTTTTATTTTTATGTTTAGGTATTCTTTGCTGAAGATGTAGGTTCAAATAAAGGTGCCCTCATTGGACTAATGGTAGGGGGTGTCGTCATTGCCACCGTCATTGTAATCACTTTAGTGATGCTAAAGAAGAAACAGTATACATCTATCCATCATGGTGTAGTGGAGGTAAATGAAACTGATGAATATTATTCCATACATTATTTCAGAAGCAGATAGTACTAAATAAATTTAAGTCCATCTGTGTAGATTTATGTATTTAATAGAATGGTGTTAACTTCCTGTTGGAGATATATCATCTATATCCTTAATATTCTCATTTTTGGTACGAGTAAATTTCTCCAGATTAATATTCCTATGTTGGATACATAGACCTGTGCTCCAAAAGAATGCTTAAATTGATACTTTAATTATGTTTATTTATATCACCCACATAACAGCATGAGATATATTTTCTATCTCTGAAGTCTTAAGGTATTAAAAAGGTATATCTCACCATTTTAAAGGTATTAAATTACAGAATATTTAACCTGTAGACCAAAGCACTATTGTCTTTCTGTATAGCATCTATTGCAGGGCTGTCAAACTCGTTGCCCCCAGGCCAGATGCGTTACACACTGGCCACACGCCCAGTTTAGCAAAGTGGGGGAAAGTCACAATACATCACGTGATGCTGCTGTGATGATGCGAGTTTGACACCCCGATCTATTGGGAAGTAAGACACAGTGTCATGACAGTATAATGACAGCTCTGATGCTGCCCAGGATCAATCATTTGACTAATTTGAATGACTATAACAGGACTGAACATTCACCTACTTTTTTAAACAGCTTAGACAAATGTTAAATAAACATTTAACTGTATAAATGAATTTTATACAATACTTCTTATATCTAGAAATGTTATTTCAATATTTCAATATAAAAATTGGGGACAAGGACATATTCAGCATTGCCTGTTAACTAATAGAAGCTCAGATACTTTCATGATTGTTAGCAATCACAAAAATAACAATTATACAATCCCACAGTATTTCTAATGTACAAAAGAAAATTAGTAGTTCAAAAGAAACTACTAACTATAATTAAGTTTTATCCGTGGCACATCTAAAATGTTTTGATTCATCTTGCCCTATTTTCCAAAGATATTTGATGTACTATACTATATCCATACTATAAACAAATAGATTAAACTGTATTAGTATTACAGTATTATTATAACAAGCAATTATATGAGAACATTCATCCTTTTTCCCTTCAAGCAGCTGGTAAAGGTTTTAATGGCAATAACAGATTTTAACCTTATTTTTATGGATGATTTAGCTTTGCATTCTTTTACAAATAAGGGGAATACCAATGCTGGGAATGAATGAATAAATAAATCAACAATTACACCAATAGAAAATAATATTTGTAGCTCAAGGTTGGTGCTCTCTGAACCTGGTTTTCTTGTGGATATTTCATTGCCAAGCTTGGTAACATCATCAGTGCTAGTAGGGAATGGGGTTTGCTGTCAATGTATGTATTAATGGCAACTAAGATATAAAATAACTGCAAACTCTACTCCCTACTACCAAATCAAATCAAATGTTTATTGTCAATGCACAACATAAATGAAATTGAAATGATGTTATCTAGTTTGGTAACAAAACATGTGCAAGTGAAACTACTAAGCTCAGAGCAGCAAAGGCCCCATAAACAATTGTGGCCTATCCATATTTGGCTTTGACTGTACTCTTCCTTGGCCTGCTCTAGGTGGATGCTGCAGTGACACCAGAGGAACGTCACCTTTCTAAGATGCAACAAAATGGCTACGAAAACCCAACCTACAAGTTCTTTGAGCAAATGCAGAACTAGAACACCATAGCAACCTCATGAATTGGACAGCAAAGTGATTGCTTCACTGCCCATCGATGTTCAGCTGAAAGTAATATGGAAATAAGCAAACAAAACAATGTTTTATTATTTACTCATTATCGCCTTTTGACAGCTGTGCTGTAACACAAGTAGATGCCTGAACTTGAATTATAAAATCAGTAATGTACTCTTTCTTGACATTTCAGTCTTTACACTACATTATTAATGAATGTTTTTGTGTACTGTAAAGTTAGCTGTACTTAACTAGTGCATGAATAGATTATTTCTTGATTATTTATCATACAGCTCCTTTAGCCAGTTGTATATTATTCTTGTGATTTGTGATGAACAAAAAAAAAAAGTCCTAATTGAAATATACTTTAAGAATTGATGGGGGATGCTTTTTGTGTACGTGGGATTGAGCTGCTTCTCTTCGCTAAGTTTTCCTTTTTCTGCTTACTATGCATTTTAAAGACAAAATGTTTTGGGGATTTTTTTTAGAAAGTATTCCAGATGAGTTATTTTCTTCTGCAGTTGCATTTTATTGTACAGATTGTTGCTTCTGCTGCACTAGTGATGTAGAAAATCATGGGAATACACATTTGTTTCTTTGTGCCTGTTTTATGTGCACACCTTTAGGCATCGAGGGAGTAAAGTTTTTTTGCCATGTATCTTTTCATCTAAAAAAGAATAAAGGAAGGAAAAGAAAAAAATATCATCCCTGTTAATCATGAGCACTTTTATACCAGGGCAGGGTGAAGGGAAGAATGGGAGAAATGCCTGCTGGTTTAAAACAAAAATAGGGAACCTGTAGGATAATATACATAATTGTTGCTTATGAATTGATAGCTTTCTACAATATGTTACATAAATAAATTACAAATAAGACTATTGGGCAAGAGTTTTACTTGGATGGAGAAATTACCTTTTGGGAGGAATAATTTTAATAATGACCATCAAGTGGGAGGGTGGGGGGTGTAGGTTTTATTCTTCTGCAAAAAGACATGATTCATAGAATTTCTTCTTTAAATACAATTGATAAAACTAGCAGTAGGTGAGAGGGTGTTTGCCTTGGCATGCCTTCCCTCTAAAATGTCTTTTTTCAGTTTGTATAATAATGTTTTAATGTAAATAAATACATTCCTGGAGTTTTATTGTATTAGTGTGATTCTGTGATAACTGTCCCACATTACTTGCTTGGTTGTACATTTTTTTTCCACGAAGAATGCTCAAGCATTCCTGGTAAACGCTAAATTTGGGGAGCTGATCTTCACAAGCTATCTTTAATGTTGTTATATCCAAGTGAGTTCAATGTGATTTACTTACAAGTAAATGTACTGTTAAGATTACTAAAATCTTATCAAACTTTCAAGGTTGATAATCTTCTGGTAACGATATTTGAGGAAGCAGGGGATTAACTTTTCATTAAATATATGGTATATTTAATTTTTGTAAATGACAAGAGGTGGCTGCATTCTGGTATGCAGGAAAGGATGTAATTTGTCAAAAAGCTCCTGGTTCACTGAACTAACATATCTTTTATGGTAATAATGGCACACAGATTTAGTAATCTTATGATAGGGTCAGCATCTGCTTGTTTGCAGCCACCTATTTGTGCCAATAAGTGATCCAGAAAGAAAACCCGAACAGTATTTTTACCTAGCTTGCATCATGTTATTTTCTTCTGTATAATCAGAAATATACAGAATTCCTTAAATGTATATTTACATATACAAATACAGTTCTCTAGCCACAGAGCATCAAAGGCAATGGAAAGAAACTAATTCAATTTGAAGCATTTGAGCTGAAATTACTCAGTTAATTTGCTCACAATCGTAATTAGAATGAGCACTTCTGTTTTAGAAGGATGCATGTTAGTTAAAATCTTGGATAACCTTTTGCTTCCAATGTAGGAGTCTGATAATAAAGTATTCTGTTCCTGTTTATTTTACTAAATAAGCTACCTAACGATGCTTGACACCAGAAACATCCGGGAAGGGAGGGGGGATTTAAAGATTCAGCACTTTCATGATTTCATATGAGTTGTCTATTTTGTATCTCTCAGTTCAATTACAATTACAAAATACTGAACTTATATATTAATTCATATTTTCTATATATTGATTTTACTATTGGGGCAGTTAATATTAAGAGCTGTTTGGATTAATCACTAAGTACACAACGAGTGCAGTAAGTCATATATGCAATTTACAAAGAAGCCTATTATATTAATTTGACCAACAAGGAATTGTTTTAAGCACAAGTTTTTGTAAAAAAAAAATGTGTAAAAATATGTAAAAGTCATTTTTAGATCAAAGTGTTTCATGTTTTTATCTAGTGCATCTAGTGCATTTATTGTTTATAGAACAATATTGTTGTAAAAGAAATTTTCCAATTAAAACAATCATAAGAAAAATCTTTTTGCTAGTTTTGAACTAACGCAGATCAAGGGCCCAAATCTACTCATTATTGACAACAAATCTAATACAATGAGTATCATAGTTCCAGAATGTTTAAGGTACAGATCTACAAAAAGTATGAATAATTCATATTTGGACACAAAACCAAAACTGCTGTGTAAAATTTTATTTTTTTACTTTTACTATATTGACAATTTTATGCACAAATATTTTAGCGTAAAAATAGAAAATAATTGTTTCATGTAAAATTACCAAAACATTCAACACAAAAGGAAATACATAATTTTAGAGCACATGTCCTTGAAGAGTAAAAATGTATGCAAACCCTCTATTTTACAAAAATTTGGGAATATACGAGCTATATTATTCTTCTGACAGCCACACAATGCAATTTCACATATAATATTCCATATCCTAGTACTGAAGACCTCAAATTAGTCACAGATTGTCCCTCACAAGAAATACAACAAAATATTTCTAGCTTATTTTATCATTTCTGTGGTTCTGTTATAAGCAAGGCTTAACATACATCAGCACTATAAACTGGAACAAATGTAACAAGTGCAGCAAACTTCTAAAAGAAATACAATGAAAATTTAAAATTCTGGAAAAATGTATATAAAAGAGAGGCCATGTGCCATTTTCCTTACTATGGCTTAGAATATGCATAGCTGAGAGAATATAATAGTATTAACTTGTGATCAGAGTAATTTGACTCAAAATGGACAGATTTATAAATATGAATGAGTAATCTGAGTTGCTTGTTATGCAATAACAATTCTAAAGTTTATATTGGCACAGAGTCATTTTTTGTTCTTATTAAAACAAAGTATGAATTCTTGATATTTCAAATGAATAATTCTTTAAATTATTGTACAGATTGTGAAAGAAAATGAAAAAAACCAAAATATTAATAGAATTTAAACTATTTTGTATTCACTACACATCAGAGTGACTGGCCACAAGATTATATGCTTTCTTTGCCGAAAATGATCCTTAAACACTACAATATATTCCTGTATATATTTTTCAGTAACTTGAAAATGAGTAAATAAAACCATGAAGTATACCTTAGCTGTTAAAGTAACAGCATCTCTAAGACTAGAGTCCATAGAACTAAGCCATATTGTATGATCATTGCTTCTTATGGAAGTATGATATTCAATTAAGTGAATTGTTGATAAAGGATATTCAACTTGGCTACATTTTTGATTAAGTGAACCATAACTTTTAATGGCCTTAATTCATAATATTTATACCAAACAAACCAAGAGTAATAAATATACCCATGAAAGTGTTTCCCAGATTTTATAAGTAAAAAAAAAAAGTAAAACACAGGTGCAAACAGTGCACTATTATCAGCATTTCTGGATTTCAACAGGGTATAATTTTTAAAAATATTTTAAATTTACAGGACTATTATTTTTTCAATATTTTTTAATTTCCAAAGCATTAAAACAAAGCTTGGAAACCAAGTAATTTAAAGAAAGTATTTTTTTATTTTATTTTTAACACAGCCACTTATATAACTTAGGGAAATCAATCCATTCTTTAATTCTGTTACTCAACAAGGGGTTTCTTTCTGTGATTAACTTAAGTCTTCAGTTGAAAAACAATTACAGTGCAAGTATAAAAGCAGAAACAGCTGATATACTCTGCAGTGTAGATTAAACAAAGCAATTTTTTTTCTTTGGATGAGAGACAAATTTCAAGTTTTTAATTCCTACACTAAAAATCTGGAAATCCTTTTGGTGCCAAACACTAAGCTTAACAAAGTTTCTCAAGATAGTTAAGCATTTCCCCCTCAAACACACATATTTATCTACAGATATCAAAATACTCATAATTGGCTTATTGGCGTTACATCTGGATTTCTGTTTTCAGCAGTAACTTTTTTTCTTGCAATGGGGCAAAGAAATCACTTTTATATCAATGTTTTTCTTACAGCCTGTCGTGCTTAAAGTTATAAAGATAGCTAATAGAAACTGTTCTAATTTTAGAAATATTAATATAGCATCTGAAGAAGTGCAGAGACCAAATTCTTTAAAAAAACCTGTTCTATATGTGAATGCTTCACTTTAAGCTGAAAAAAATAAGCAATGTAGCACAACATAATACCAACAGATCTTCAATTTCCTTATAATTCCCAAACTCTTTGCTACAACCTGTACATCTTCATATTATAGAACCTCTGGAATGCCCTTAACATTCATGAAACACATCTTTAAGTCAAAAAGACCCTAATTTATGAGTGTTGCTTGTAGAAATTCATGCATCATATTGAATTGCCAATTAATAGATGCAGTTCTAATTTTAAACCAGAAACTGCTAAGTGTAAAAGAATGTTGTCAAGCTTTTAGGTCCTAGTCCTCAGTTCTCTTTTTCTGTTTGCAGAGATGCTGTAGCCAATGCAACTGCGGTGACTGGTTGTGTAATCCCATGCAGTTGCATCTTTGCCAGTTTCTTTTGTTCACATTCCGTCACCAACCGATTCAGTTCAGCTGCACTGTACCCAATGAGAGTCTTCAAGTCACACACAAACTTGTATACAAACCTTTTGCCTTGTACTTTGCAGATCATATCACCATCATAGTAATACCTTCATTGAAGAAAGGAAAAGCAACAAGAAACAAATGAAAAGTAATTAAACATGGCCCATTTTTTAAATTTGTGAAATTTGTCTTTTGCAATAAAACTGATTAATTTATTTCCATGATTCCATCAAAATCTGCACCAGTTCAGAAACCATGTGGCACAAAACATTAAGAAAAGCTCACCCATATCATGTTAGATAACCTCTTTCATTTAAATTTGAGCTTAACCAGCCTTTATAACTGCCAGAAGTATGATTTCCTGCATATTCAATATATATATCACTATTGAATTATTAAATAATGTTGCAGCTAAAACATACATTAAAACACAGACTGCATGATTCAAATAGCCTATGATGATATTTCTGTGCATTCTCATATGTACTGGCACCATGAAAGACTCCAGTGTTCAGACTGGAGAATATTTGGGAGAAACAGAATAGAGTGGATGTATAAAACCTGATTTGGGGTGGGGGTGGATGCCATTTTAAAGCATTTGGCACAAATAAATCCTTTAAGTTGATAAAAAGAAAGATGGTTCCCAAGCTCGTATTAAAAAATATGTGGCCCTTTCTGTAAATTATTTCCTGTCTTTACTGAAAGGGAAATCATGTCAGAATTAGTTCTGATTGAAGCAGCTTGTAAGCAAGTCTGTAGGCAAGTAAATAAATATTTCAAATGAACAAGCCATATATTCATATATTCATAATGAACAACAGAATGTTGAAAGAAATATAAAAGGATTTTCCAATATTAGAAAAGTATTTTCCTATTGTCATAGTGTAATTTGAAACTATAAATGATACCAATTGAAGATGGAAGATTGAAAACTCCAGTGAAGATGGAAAGAAGTACTTTATTACAGAATACATTCTTTTAAACATAGGTTGTACCATACGTAATTTTTTATGTAGATATCTCTGCCTTCTGGGACCATTTTTTCCTGAAGTCCAAAAGGTTTACCCACACTGTGTTGGGCTTTGGCAAAGCCTTTTTTAAGGAAGCTGTATGGCAGGGTGGTTATGATGTACTATTTAATTTATAGTGTTTATCTGATTTTCTGTTTTCTCAACATGGATATCAATAATTGCTCTATTCTTGGTTTTTATTTTAATCTTATTTATTTTTTAAAGTACTCCATTGACTAAAAAGGATAGTCTTGAAGGACAGATCCACCATTAAGGCAAGAATCAGCTGAACAAAACTTGAACCCAACACAAGAAAAGAATTTGTGAAAATGCCTAACAGCCCCTTCTCACAATTCTCAAAAAGATAAAATAGAGAAAAAGTAGCAAAGAAAGCTTTGTTGAAGTCAGCTCCCACAAATTCCTCCTGTGCTTCAATCATTTTGATGTTAATCATTTAGTTTTGAGAATTGAATCCAATATACATTTTTCTTCATTTTATTCTGCTGCTTAGATTATGAGACTCTACATGGGGCTTGTGAAGCTTTTATGGATCATGTCCATTGTTCTACAACTTTCAGCTGAAAAGCAATGTAATAATACTATAAAATCAATCAAGAGTTTTTAAGCTTACCGTAAAGCACGGCTGAGTTTTTCATAATTCATTGTAGGCTTATTTTTACGTTGTCCCCACTTTTGGGCAACTAGTTCTGGTTGATTTAGTTTAAACTCTCCTTCGTCACCAACCCATGAAATGCAATCTCGGGCATCTTTATCAGTCAGAAGCTCAAGCAAGAATTGCCATAACTGGATCTGACCATTGTTTCCTATTATGATTAATATGCAAATATATATATACATATATTAAGTATTTTCATCTACTATAAAGTTAAGGCAAGCAGAATAAACAAGTAAAGACATAAAATTTAGGTAACTGTATACAGGCAATCCTTGCTTACCAACCACAACTGGAACTGGCAACTCTGTTGCTAAGCAATGCAATCAGTGAAATGTCAAGTGACCACTCCAAAATTATATCAGTTATGGCTGCAGTCACTAAGCAAATCACCTGTGGTCATTAAGCTTATCATATGATTGTAATTACTTCCTTCCAGCGTTCCCACTGACTTTGCTTGTTGAAAGCCAGCTGTGAAGGCTAGTGAATAGCATGAATAACAATCATGTCACTGTGGAACACTGTGACTATCAAAGTATACTGGTTGTTAAGTGCCCAAATCAGAAATCTGTGGGGATGCAATGGTAACTATAACTCTGAAGACCACTCATGTATCTCCTTTTTTGCACCAACACAACTTTGAACAATTGCTGAAAGAGCAGACAGTAAGGAAGGACTATCTGTAATCTATTTAAAAAGAAGAAACTAATGTAACAATAGAAAATCTTCATCAAAATTTTAAAATCAACTAAAATGTCAATGAAGAGACCAAGCTTTTTCCTTATTAAAATTCTACAAGTTAGAATTCAAGTATAAAATATGCTTAAATGTTTTTATAATTTATATCAGCTTTCCATAATTCGGCATTGCTCCACAAGCTTCAACTTCTCCCGCATCACCATTGTTGAAAATCATAGGAACAGACATATACTCATGTATCTTCAGATCAGTCAGGCTGAAGACTGACTGACTCAATTAAAATATTTAATTCAAAAGCTTGTTTCACATTTTAGTTAATTCTAATGTATACTATTTTTAAAGTCCTTCATTCCAATCCCAATTTACTAAATTACTTAACAAAAGTGTTTAGTGCAGCTTGTAACCAATCATGAAAGTTCATACATTTTAATAAAATTTGTTAGCTGGGAATGTGCCACCAGATTCCTGATTTTTTTGTTACCATAGATTAACATGATTAACATTTTTATAGTATATAGATATCAAGAAAAGTCTTGAAGAGGCCAACAAACTTAAACATAAATTTAATGAGAGATATGATTAAACATCCTTGGGACTGAAATCTTCTGAAAGAGTGAAACTACTAATGGTAGTGAAACTATTTCAAACACTTTTTGAGGAGAACCATTAAACCATAAAAATAAAAAAAAATCGTAATTCATAAAAAAAATAATTGTCCTTCTTAAACAGATGCTTTCTCTTTATTGGAGAAAATATTTAATTTCTCAATGAAATATGAAAAATGTTAAAATACAAGAGTAATAAAATATAAAGTATGCCTTTATATGGTTTTATATTTTCAGAGATTGTACTTCATTTCTAGATTTTCACAAACTCCTGGCAACATAGGTATTTCCCTTTAACTTCAAAATCATTGTCTTTCTTTAGAATAATAGTTAAAATATTTGCTTTAATTAAAAAAAATACCTGTTCTGTTACCCGGTGAACTTCTATCTTCCCCTGAAATCCTTGGAGCTCTTTGTACTTTTGTGGCCTTTGCACTATTAATTACTTTAATGGTGGTTGGAGTAGAAGGCTGAACTGAAGCTGGAATAATTTGCACAGCTAGAAAGGACAAAGCATCAAACAATAAATTTAAAAATAACAAAACACATAAAATTGCTATTTCCAACCATAACATAGATGATCTCTCAAGATATTAAATTGTTTTGATGGGCAATGCATAATGTTCTGCTTAACATGCTGTATGCTCTTAGCTTTTCCCAAATATATCCTATATTCCCAACAACTCACAGAGGTTAATTCAGCTTCTTGGAAAAGTCCTCCATTACTTCAAATGAGCTGATGACAAACAGTGCTGTAACATCCAAGGTCAACTCAGAGATCAAAAGAAACGCCTGAACCTATACCTGGAGGCTGTTGGTTCTGGATTTGGCAATAGACTCAGAAAATACTCTTTGCAATTAAGTTATTTTTTGAGGAGGGATATAAAACAAATATTAATCAACTAGATTGTTCAGCAGTAACATAATTTTAGTACAAGTATAACAGGGGTGTCAAATTCACAACCCGCAGGCTGGATGTGTCACGCGCTGGCCACGCCCACACCTGGTTTAGTGAAGGAGGAAAAAGTTGCGATGCTGCTGCTGTATGATACGAGTTTGACACCCCTGAAGTATAATAACATGAGTATACCTCCAAAATGGACTTTTCTCAGTTTAAACAAAATAATTTAATTTAATTATACTTTAAATTGCAATTTAACTTTATAAAAATTATTTTTGTTTTTATAGTTTAAGTCTCTAATTAAAATATTTTTCTTTCGTAAGTATTTAAAGGATGACAACTTACGTTGATCAATAGTAACTGTTGCTATTTCTCCAGAGTGTTCCTGGCTAGCTAGTACATCTGGATAATAAAGACAAAATTTTGCTATTAAGAAAATGTTATTGCAGTTTGATAAACAAGGAAAACAAAGGAAAACACAAAAAGGATGTGAGAATTTTATGTACACTATTATAAACTGAAGATAGGACAAAAATAGATATTGTATTGTTTGAAGCCAGAAGAATTCATTACATTTTGTGTGTTCTGGAAAACTGTTTCAAATAAGAATGAAACAAACTCCAATGCTTTAATTGTTCTGAGCTTTAGACAAAAAAGAAAGAAAATCTAGATAGAGCAAGGTTAAGAAGCATTTCTCCCTTTAATCCCAGCTAAAGCTCTCAGAATAGCAAATCCCATTAGTCTTCCTTCCCAACTTTCTCAGGCCATATTCGAGCATGCATATCCCACCATACCCCTGCCCCCTTATTTTCAGCACTTTTACTCATCTCAGCTATCATCATAGCCACAGCCAAGGTAATAGCACAGGATATCCCACTGTTCTACCTGCCCCTCCATCTTACCAGCATCTTCCCATAGCTATTACTTCTGATTATATTCTAGAAGCCTGACCATTCCCCAGTATCACAGGGCCTTTCCTTTCCTTTCAGCTGCTACAGATATCCCACGAGAGTATATCCTACCAGCCAATCTGCCCATCAATTTTTTCAGGAGCCTTCCCTTCCCCAATTTAACAGTGTCCTTGGCTTTTTTCTTGATTCCACCATCACCACCAATGCTATCTAAATAAACTCCATTTTACTCGAGAACAAGGCAACCACTTCATTCTATGCATGTATCAAATAACCAGAAACCAGCTGTTTTACATCTGGAACGTTTTGTACATTCTACTATATACACAGTAAACCAAGGTGTTTTTTTTAATTTATGTATCTATTATATTAATTACATTATAAATTCTATAAGACAATTTCATTTCATAACTTTTTTGCCTAGTGTTTGTCACCAGTTAACTTCTGCTATTGCAAATGTTGAATTATGTATGGATATGTTTTTGTTAAGAGTGAAACTGAGGAGGAGATGTGTTTATTTAACTTAGTATGGTTGAGGAAGTGGATATTAGCTATATTCCCAATTGTATCTACCTGTCAAATAACATTTAGTCAGGTGACTAATGTTTATTTGATACAGGACAACCATCTTTAGGCATCAGAGGCAAGCATTCTCTGCAGAATAGCATTCGCCCAGATAATTCGCCCAGAACACAGCATACACACAATGACTTTTAGGAAGTCCACGCAAAAATGACTTTTTTTTTAAACCAAGCCTCGGAAAGTGACACTGTATTCTGTACTCCTGTTCTGTACTCCTTTTTGCAACAGCAATTGTTTTATGCTTGATGTGAATGGATTAGATTCACAGGTTCTGCTATTATATATTGGTATTTTATGAACTGTAGTAACTATTATTTTATTCTAAAGCTTACTATATGTTTTGAATTCAATTTATAGTGGCTGGATAATGCTCCTTAAAGTCAATTTCACCTGGAACAGCAAGCAAGCAAACAAATGAATAAAATATTGGGTATCCATAGTATTATAGAAAACTGTGCATTTAATGTCTGCTTATTTTTCAGAGGCAGACTGAAATCTTTTAAAAATTGTACAAAATTGTTTCATTAAATGGAAAAACATAAGTATTGACATTTCAATAGTATTATTAAAATAACTACTGTTTTATAGTATCAGTATCTTTGAAATGATACTAAGATTTGTTTTCTGCTAAAAACTGCAAAGATAGAAATGGATTATAATTTCACATAGTCAAATAGCATTTAAATTCACATTTCATGCATACATCCTGAGAACTAGAATATCCACAATGTAAAACATTTATTTAAAAAAAAAACATTTGCTAAGGAAACACACATACATTTTCGAAGAAGTTCCAGATGGCTCCATAGAATTTCTCCCCGAGGGACTCTTTGGAAGAAATCTTCTTGGCTGAGGCTACACAGTTCTCTTCCAGGAATACTAAGAGTATTGAGGTCGATGTCAGTCATGCTGAATTCCTTCATTACCCATACAACCCAATGCAGTACCTGATCCGTTGACCACTGAACTGGATCTAGGAGAATACAAATAATTCATTTTCCCGATGCTGAAATAGACATATTCTATACAATGTACATTCTGCAAAAATAATAAAATCATAAAATTCCTGCAGAAAATATTGTCGTGAGCAGAAGCAGCTGAGAATAGGCTCAAATCTAATATATCATTAATTAAAATTGCAATTTCTTTCAGAATCATTTGTGATTCATCACCTGCATCATCAGTTTTAGGAAAGAAAAACTTTATAACAAAATTGTGTGAGTGGTCCAGAACAGAGTGAGTTACAGGTGCTAGAGAGGGTGTACAGGGGAGGAACACTTACCAAGCAACTTGCAATCTTCCCTGCTGGCTTCCCCACTAACTTTCTGGAGGAATCAGAAGTTTGCAAATGACAATCAATGACTGCGTGGTGCTTGGCAACCAGGTGTAAAAGCAGTTTGCCAAATGCTCAAATTGCGATAGCATGACTGTATGGGTGCTGCAATAGTGACAACTTTAAGGACCAGTTTTAAGATTCTATCGTATCTTTAAATGGTCACTGAACAAATAGTCATGAGTCAAGGACTACCTGTAATGCTATCCATTATGTTTTTAACAGACACTGAAGCTTTTGTGAAAAAAATTCAGTATCATAACACATTTGCTTATTTGCAGGTTCAACTGTTGCATATCCATATAGGCTATAAAAACTCTTATCTATTGATAGTAACTGGATAAACCAATGTTTGATTCCATCTGTGGCAACTTGCTATACAGTAATTGAGCTTCATTTTTAAATCTATAAAGTCCATAAAGCTAAACAGAAGTACTTGCAGTGGATGAAGCAGGAAGATCAAAATGATATTCCACTGAATAATTTGTTTCAGAGTTGCATGCAGAGCCCGAACATTCCTGCATTCCCCAGAATGTTCCATTCTTCTACCATAATGTATCAACCTGGACTTTGCAGGAGTGGTTGAATAATTATTGAAAAAAAATTCCCATAACACAGATGGTTCATGATGTTTTAAACATCGTCTAAAATGGCATGTTCTAGAAAGTTTACTCTTGATAACTACTAAATTCAGATGACTATATCATCATGTTCTGAGAAAATGAGATGTATGGAGCAATGGCTTTTGTACGCCCCTAATTCTTATCATTTAATGATACGATGTCTTACCATAGGGTATTCCTAAGCGTTCTTGTTCTTTACGGTACCCTTCTAATGCTGCAGCCCATCGAGTTACTTGTTCTGATGTTTCATCAGATATGGTGGTAATATGTTTAGTTCCATCTAATGTTATTACTTGAGTTTCTTCAACAAGGTGTGCTTCAGTTTCAGTATGATGGGCATCTGGATCAATCACTACCTCAACTGTTTCAACCGGTTTTACAATTTCAAGGATATTTAACTTTGGGTCCATTCCTATATACAGAAAAAGAAAGTGAGTAGATATCCAAACATAATAGTTATAAATAATGAAACAGTACAGTACCTAAATATAGTATTAATAAATGAACATTACTATTACTAAAATTGCCTCTTCAAATGCAGTTTTAGTTTTAAAACTCACATGCGGAAAAAAGTTATTAGCTTTTATTCTCACCAATGGTAAATTCATTTAGAAAACAATATTCCTATATGAACAAAGGATTTCATTTCAGTTTTTTCAAAGTTATATTGCATCTCTCATGAAACAAGGGAAGGTAAAGCAAGTGAGAGAAAAAGTAATGCCCCTTGATTATTTCATAAGCTGCCCCTATCTAATCCAGCTCTCCATTATGAAATTTAGGAATTATTAGGAACTGGTGCCAAAGGTATTTTCCTGTTCCGTCTTTGTCAACTTAGCCTTCTATTTATACCTTTTCACAGTGAAATTATATTTTTATTAGATAATCTGAAATAATTTACCTTGCCTCGATATTACTTGGACACTAAGCTGCACAGTTCCATCTGTTTTGACACCTTGATCAAACAGACTACGGTCTGGATCCAGCTTGATAATAAAAGGAAATTTAGAAAAATGTTGAAGTAAACAATTCATAACTATCAATGTGGACATTTCTTAAAAAGAGATATCGACTTTACAAATACAGATAATCAGCTTACAACCATTCACTTACTGACTTTTCAAAATTAAAGCAGTACTGAAAAAAAGAGTGATTTATGACCATTTTCACACTTACGACTGTTGCAGCATCCCCATGGTACATGATCAAAATTTAGATACTTGGCAACTGGTTTATGCTTTTGATGGTTGCAGTATCCAGGGATTATATGATCATATTTTGTGACCTTCTGACAAGCAAAATCAATGGGGAAACCAGATTCAAGTAGAAACCATGTTACTAACTTAACAACTACAGTGATTCACTTAACAACTGTGGGGAGAAAGGTGGTAAAATGGGACAAAATGTACTTAACTCACTTGCAACAGAAATGTTGGGCTCAATTGCAGTTGTAAGTTGAGGACTACCTGTAAGCATTATTTTCCAATCAAAAAAGCTATTGATACATTCTTTTAAAGATGTATGTGTACGTACACATACACATACACAAACATATGCATCCTACATTATATGGCAATAGCACAAAGAATCAGTTATTATCATGTTTAACATGTCAAAATCGTTGCAGATCAAAATAGTTCCCTTCCTGCCCCCAGGGTGGAATATTTTTTGTTGAAAATAGCATTTATACTACACAGTACTGTACTGCTTATTCTGCATAAGCTAGATATTCCTGCGTTTTTATTTAAATAAAAAGACAATTTTCTGCTCTCTTCATTTAGATATACAAAAACGTGATTCATTGGAATAAATCAAAATTATATTTTTTCTGATATAATCATAACCAAACAATGGCTTGTTTTGCATCCTAGAACAATCTGTTTCCACCATCCAAACCAAAACTTTCCTCTACATGTACTATATTCCACAAACTTCAGTATTTCACATTTAAAGTAGGCTAGATTATTTGCTATATTTTAGCTTTCTCGTACTCCTACCTGAACTTATATTCTATTTTCCTAAATAAATATTAACTTTCCTTTCATTTAAGTAATTCAAAAACTCATATAAAAGGTAGTAAATAGTTTGATAAATGTATCAGATATGAGAGGAAAAACAGAAGTAGAATGGTTGAAAAAAAAAGAATGTTATATTGTACAAAAGAAGTGTACATGAACCTATGATTGGTCTATATTGGATTAAATCTATATTGATTTACTACTAAATCAAACTATCTGTAAAACTGATGCTTATTTACAAATCTTTAACAATTTGTGCTTATACCTGTATATCTTGCAGACAGATTTCATGGGCTTCTAAGGAACATTGAAGTCTTGGTTCCAGTAGTTTCTTTAGGTTTCCAACTGGTTCATTGATATCAATAGCCTGACTTACAAATTCTGCAGCAGTGTAAGTCTGTTCAACAATGCTGAAATGAAAGAATTAAAAAATAATCCACTGTATTTTAAACATTTTTTTCTATAATAGATTTTAATTTGTTGGCCTAAATCTGATTTGAACATTTTTAAAAAGTTCAATAATATTGGATATTGACAAGAAGTACAGGTAAATAATTCATATGTAAACGCCTAAATCAATTGCATTACCAAATATTAAAGTGACTGACTACATGATTATAGATGGATATTTAATGAAACTATTTTATTTTAAAACTAAATTCTGAAATCCATTAACGTAGATGTGAGACAAAAACCACAACAGTAAATCTCTTGAGTACCAAACCTGAATGGCACTTTTTCATATAAAATGCATTTTTAATTAATTGCAAGATTTTTGAATTTATGATGATTTGGGAAAGGGGTGCAATCTTTTGGCAAATCACCTAGAGATTTAGCATGATATAATTAAATGTTTCTGTTGTTTCTATGCTCCTATAAAGACTCATCAAAATAGATGTGATTAAGGCAACAGCATTTTTTAAAAACATAAGACAAGAAAATTCTAAGACACAAGTACATTACATATATTGCAAAAATGAAAATGTGCTGCCAGATGATTAGCAGCAGTAATCCACAAAAAACTTGACTAGTATTTTAATACTAATGAAGAACTGGAATCAAAGATCAAGTCAACTTAATGAAACTGCACTGTCAGCTATAAAACCATATTTCCCCTAAATTATTATTTATTTTGCAAGTAATATATACTCTGGCTTTAAAGAAAGTCCTGTTCATGTGATATTTTTATTTCAATTTTATAAACTTAACCCTAACCCTAAAGCAATAAGGAATGAGGTAGAAAAAACAACTGTTGCTTCAACTTGTTGCAAGCATCAAAAGTTCTTTGAACAGTAATAACGAATTTATGCTTTCTATCCTTAATAAAAAACTAATATATTTACATCCTTAAAGTCAAGAAAAATATTATTTCCACAGAATTTAAATGAAAGAATTTTTCAAATGGATTTATATTCCTTTATTAATCAGAAAGACAACTATAAAAATAATCATGTATAAGGTCCCATGGAATCTTTCTATATACCTTTCTTCAGTGCATTCTTGTTTTTCGGTTCCATCTATTTCTATTTCTATTAGTTCTTCTGCTTCTCTTTTAGTCATGGTTGAAATATTTCAAGAGATAGCCTGCAAATTCAAACACAAGTAGTACACACGTGTTAAAATAAAAATGATTTTATCATTTTTACTATTTCATACAATCTGAAAAAGATATAAAGTAGCATAAAGAATATATGTTAGAATAAATTTGGTTAAGTACTACTATGAAGCAATCATGGTTAACAATAAATACTAGTATTAACAATAATTCTGGTATTCCATTACAAGTTAAAAGGCTGCTTTAAGTTGTTGATGCTATATAAATACACTTGAGCATTTTTAAGTACTTTTTTTGCCCTACAAACCTGAAGCGCTGCATAGCCTTTGAAATCACTTAGACAGTAAACACATCACTTCTGTGTTAAAATTGTTTAGATACACAATATTTTAAAAACCTCATATATTCTGGATTTATTTTTAAGAAGATAATACAGTACTGGCTCTTCTAGAAATCTTGTACAGGTAGTCCTTGAGTTATGACCGCAATTGAGCCCAAATTTCTGTTGCCAAACAAGACATTTGTTAAGTGAATTTTGCCCCCATTTTATGACTTTTCCAGATTTTGATCATGTAACCATGGAGATGCTGCAACGTTTCTGTGAAAAATGGTCATAATTCAGTTTTTCAGTGCCGTTGTAACTTTCAATGGTCACTAAAGGAACTGTTGTAAGCTGAAGATTACCTGTGGTCTTAACAGCTGATGTTAACCATATTTTATGCTGCATTTATTTTCCATCCTTTTCCATTAGTTTCTGAAACATGCAGTACGTTATATTCATTCTAGTCTAAGAAATCCATACAACTTACTAGAATGTTACAGCTTAAAAGAGTTATCTTTAGTCTGCATACATTTGCCAATTAAAATATGCATTTTAAAAGGTAGGCCTATACCCTTCAACTTCAAAGACAAAATAGTGCTTTAGAACATTAAATTACATCATTGTCTACAGTTAGCTATTTAAACTAAATACACCTCTCCCTTGGATCTCATGGCAACTTTAGAGGGTGGCCAAGCAATCGCAGAAAAGGAACGGCAGAGTTCCCACCACCCCACCAGCTTATTGCCTTCATGTTGGAAATGTTGAGAGTCCTACATTAATATGATTTTACATTACTTTCCATTTCAAACTATTCAGCTTTTCCTTCCCAAAAATGGGAAAAAATAATTTCCAAGAATTCTAGCTACACAGCACTAGATTACAGCAAAGGCAGGTTAGAAAAACAACAACAAGCATTTGGGGAATTCTATTAGATATGAACATCAGGCTACCGAATACTGTTAACATAATTCTTTTCCCCCTCTATATCTATATCCTTCTTTACCTGGCATTTATAAAGAGAAATAAAAATGATTAGTTGCCCCCAAACCAGTTCTTTCTTGGTCCTGTACTAAATTGAGGTTTTCTAAGAGATTAACCCTACATGTGCATGCAGTAAGAACTTACACAAAAAAGTATTTACAGGTAGTCCATTTACAGGTAGTACCACAATTGAGCCCAGAATTTATAGTGCTAAGTGTTAAATTTGTTAAGTGAGTTTTGCCTCATTTTATCACTTTTCTTGCCACATTTGTTAAGTGAATCACTGCAGTTTATAAATTAGTAACACAGTTGTTAAATGAATCTACCTTCCCCATTGGCTTTACCTGTCAGAAGATAGAAACGGTCATAAATATGAACCAGTTGTCAAGCAACTGAATGTAAACCACATGACCATGGGGATGCTGCAACAGTCTTAAGTGTGAAAAATGGTCATAAGTCACTTATGTTGTGTGAACGGTCACTAAATGAATTATTGTAAGTCAAGGACTATCTGTATTTCTAGTGTGCCCTATCAAAAAAATTACAAGCAACTGTACTGAAGAAACAATGCTGCATACTCCTTGTCTCCAAAACATTACAAGAAATGATAAATATAAACCCTTCATCATAATAATAAGTATATTTCATTTATTCCTAGTTCTCATTTTCAAAGCGGCCTTTAAACAGGATGTACGGTGCCGATATACTTACTTACAACGTAACTTTTGCTACCAACTATGGCTATCCACCAGACGCCCCTTGTTCCTCACTGAAATAATTATACATCGATTTTGACAGAAATCTACTGCTATAGAAGTTGAAAATAAGCCGACAAGTCAAGACTAAGAAAACGGCGAAAGAAAACCGTACTGACGACTACCATGATGTGGAGCGTTTCAAACACGGAGATGGCAAGAACGTGTTTAAAATTGAGGGAGGGCAAGAGGCTGCCGAATTAATTTTGAAATCTGTTGTAAGATACCCTCTCCGGAACACAACGTTGTCAAAATATATATACATATGTATATCAACCTATCCCTGCGTGGAGAAAAAAAAGGCTCCTGCCAAAGGGGCTTGGCTATCGACGGGACTCCCGAGGCCTCTTTTTCCACTGTCCAAAAGAGGAGACGAAGAGGACGCAGAGATCCTTCCCGCCCCATGATTCGAGGGGAGTAAAAAGGCAAAAGCTTGCGAAGACGAAGAGGCGCCAAGGTGGGGGGAAACCCTTCCCCCGGTCCAGGCCTTCCTCCGTCACCCGCGGCTGCGCCTCCTTGTTGTTTGAACTCGAAACGGAAATGAGACTCGCGCCGCGCGGAGCAGAAACGGAAACAAAACACAAGAAGTGAGGAGGCCACGAGACCCCCCTCCCGCCCGGATACAGCGCGAGGCGCTTTCCTCTTCCCCCTCCCGTTCACTTTCCTCCGAGCCGCGCGCCCCGGAGTTCCCGCTTGAACACTCACCAGCCGCCGCCGCCACCTCACGGTCTCCGTCACAAAAACAATCCAGCCCCACTGCTTGTGGAGCAGCGCTGCTGCTTGCTCTTTTCCGCCGTGGCAGCTACGTCGGTTCAACCAAAGAAGCGCCTATTTTCCCTGACACTCCCGGCGGCGATGGGGAGTCGTGGGGGGGACGGGACCCTTAGCGAACTCCAACTCTGGCGGTCGGTCGGTCGGCTAGGCCTGCGCGCGGGGCCCTGGCGGGGGAAAAGCGCAGATACACGATTCCCCCCCGCCCCGCGCGGCAGAGCAAAAACTACGACTCCCAGCGCCCCTTGCGAGCCCGCCTTGCGCTGCTATAGTAAAATTCAAAGTATTTTTACAAGCGCCACTTTAAGTCGGAAGTGAATCCTTCTGTTTCCGGTAGGTAAACGGGCCTTCGGTTAAAAGAGTTTTTCCGAGTTTTTAAATGACCTTTCCTGGTTAGAAAAAAGGCCGCAAAGGAATTTCGAGTAACTACAACTAGAGAGAAGGTGAAGACGAGCCGTGTTTAGATAAGCAAATGACCGGAGACGGGCGGTCAAAAAGCAAAATTCCCGAAACCCATTGCGACTTTCGGCGGCGGGGCGGGGCCATTTGACTGCAGGCTCCGGGAAGGTGACCGATCGTGGTGGGTGTTCCTCGAGGAATTGGAGACCGGGTAAAAGAAGGCTGAAAGAGCAGCCATCTCTGAAGGATTTCGGCTTTAGGTAGTTTAATCCCATCCCCCCCCCACCCCCGTTTTTTTTCCCCCAATAGCATTGTTCCGAATCGTCTCTCCCTCGATATTCTGGCTTCTAACTAGTCCGTAGAATGATGCAGGCTTTAAGCGAGTGGCTGCACTTAGCGGGCAGGTAAACTGCTAATTCGTCCATAATATCCGGTGCATCAGAAGGGATCATATTAGGGAACGTGGGGTTGAGAATGCGAAGTAGGTTGCTATGGTGGGTTTAACTTCCAGGGACAGGAGGAGTTTTCTGAGCAGCAACTTCTTTGGTAGACAAGGCCACTGCCAGCTAATGTTGGGGAGGCCGTAGGCTTGGGCATTATGCCGTCAGTGGCTTTTCTTCTAACACAATATCGCAACCGCTATCCTTTCTACCTTTACTGGCCCCTTTGTTTTTACTTGGTGGTGAGAGGATGAAGAGACTGCTATTGCCGCTTTCCCCCCCCCCCCCCCGCTTCGGGAGAGACAAATGAATGGGTGCCTGCAAAAACAACAACAATATACCAGGCTACTGTAGTAACAGTACTCTGATCTTGATAATGGAATGGTCCTCAAAAGTTATTCATTGATGGCAACTTTTATTAGCTCCCCTGTAAATCCTTGCTTGATCTTGCCCCCTAATCCAAATCCCTCAGACAGCTTTGAGTCTAAAGTAGGGGTCACCAAACTTTTAGACCCCAGGGACCACCGAACTCATAATTTTAAATCCCGTGGACCAGAGACCTAGGAAAATCCCCCCTCCCCAAAAAAAAAGTCTGCAGGAAAATTCCCCACCCCATTTTCCTACCAATCGATCATTATTTGGGATCGCAGGATACTATCTCCAGCTCCATTCTCGGGGTGGGGGGAAGAGACTTTTGACTTCATGCAAGGAAAGCAGCAGAAGTCTTTCTTTCTCTACCCCAAACTCTGCCATAAATGAGTCTTTGTGAGACTTGTTGTGCCAGTGCAGCCTCTTGAAGCAGGATGCCTTCCAGGGTCCCAAAGACTCGTTTCTGGCAGAGTTTGGGGGAGAGAAAGAAAGACTTTTGCTGCTTTCCTTGCACGCAGCCAAAAACAGAAGAAGAAAAAAGCTGCAAGAAGCAGCCCGGTGGCCAGGCGAGGTGTGTTGAGTGAGTGGGACAAGTTCCTCCCCTTCCCTCACTACCTTGTGTTGTTCGCAATGCAAGCAAAGCAAGCCTTGTATTCCCATGGGCCATGTGGGCGGTGCAGCCTTGTGTTCCCACGCAGCCTGGATTAATTGGTTTGGGGGGTGTTTTGGGGTGACATTTCTCTGCAGACCACCAAAATTTTCTCACGGACCACCAGTGGTTCCCAGCCCACTGGTTGATGACCACTGGTATAAAGTATTTACGTAATTCTTCTGTAATGAGCGACTGCTCATTCTAGCACACTTAAATATTTAAAATCAGTATAGTTTTGATTTTAATGCTGAAATTTGGTTTCTTTAACCTATTTATTATTACGTTCACCGAAACTTTAAGCCTTTAACATTCTCGTAGATTGTTGATAAATGATAAATAAGAAAGCTTCTTCAGTATTTAGGAAAAAGAATTACAAATGATTTTGGAAAATGAAAACATTTCTGTCCTACCTACCTCAGTTAAGAACTGTCATTTTACCTCAGTTAAGCACTGTCGTTTTAGTAATTGCTGATAGTTTGGTATTGATTCTGTCAGTGAAATTAGTCATTTAAATGAGTCGTTTATGCAGAAATATTCTTCCATAAGGAGATGTCTGATGGAGAGGCAACTAATCTGCCAGTTGATGTGATTTGAGTAATTTGATTTTTTTTCTCTCCATCTGCAACCTAGTGGAATTGCCCAAACTGGACATCCTATTGATTTTTGTTTTAAAAATAAGACACTAATTGGCAAAGTAGTATATTATTGCCTTCATCTTTTCTGTTGCCATTGGTAATATTTATTTACTTGATTTTTATGCCCATACATTAGAATAATTCAAGATGACTTACCATTAAACTCAGCAAAATCATCAGAATGCAAAAGATAAAAAATTAAATGACTGAATGGGAAGTATCTTCTTCATCCAGAGCTTTACTGCAAATCAGTCTTATTGAAATATTTGTATTGTATTTATACTGATGGGTGTGATTTTTGGTGATATTTTTATCTCTCTGGTTGATTGTCTAGTTTTCTCCTTTTTTTCTGTTTTTTTGTTAGCTGCCCAGAGTCACTTGTTAGAAGCAGGTAACATGTACACTGAATAAATAAATATAAGCTTTAATATCACTGGGCTGATGGCCTATTCCAAGGGTAGGGAAACTTGGCTCTTTTATCACTTATGGACTTCAACTCCCAGAATTCCTGAGTGAGCCATAAAAAGTTCCCCATCCCTGGTTTTTCGGTTGTGGGGGAAATCAATTTTTGACTTGAATGGGACTGTTTAATATACAAATGTAGGACATATCTCCTACATTTGTATATTAAACAGTCCCATTCAAGTCGAAAATTGATTTCCCCCACAACTGAAAAACCAGTAGGCCAGGGATGGGGAACCTTTTATGGCTCACTCAGGAATTCTGGGAGTTGAAGTCCATAAGTGATAAAAGAGCCAAGTTTCCCTACCCCTGGCCTGTTCAAATAACTTGGCTAATGGCCTCGTTATTGATACAAATAATTCTTGACTTTGACAATTGGAACCAGAATTTCTATTTCAGTCAATATGTGATTTACCGTAGTTGTTAAGCAAATCCAGATTCCCCAATAGTTGTTTTTTGATGGAAATTAGCAAAAACAAAAAAAGATTGCAAATTGTGATCATGTTACTGCAGGATGCTACAACTAGTCACAAATGCGAGCTAGTTGCACTGTGTTTGAATTGTGATCACGTGACTACAGGGGTGTGATGGTCATAAGTGGAGATACAGATCATATGTCACCTTTTCCAAGGCCATTTAACTTTGAACCATCATTAAACTGTCGTAAGTCAAGAACTACTTGTACTACTGTTGTAAAATACAATATGGATGGGACCAAATAGCTCTCTGGGAAATAGTATTCTAGAGTACACGAATGACAAAGGAAAGGCACATTGTATCTGGGCATCTACAATATGACATTGCTTAAATGAAGGGATTTGGGGATATCCATCCTGTGAGATCATTTAAGACACAAGTCCTTCAGTTATGTAGGGGTTGATAGATGAAAAACAGGCCAATGAATTGCATCCAGAAACTCATTTATATCCCATGGAGCACAGTCACTGTGACAACACAAAGCAAAATTGTCACATAGAAATACCAAGGTGTAATCATAATTGATTATGAGGCTACACTCTGGATCTGCTGAAGCTTCTAAATGATCTTCATTGGTGACCCTATGTACAACATGTTGCAGTTGTCTTAAAGAGATACCTAGGCATAAGCAGTCCAGTAAAGGGCACAGTGGCACATAGGACAAGTCCATTCTGGCCATGGCTGCCATTGAATGGGATACTAGCTAATGGAATAGTGGCAGTCCGGAAATTATTTAACAGATTTATCTGTAGCTTCTTACTACTTGGGTTTTAAGAAGTCAACAGTGAAACAAATAAAATGAAACAAAACATTAAAAATCAAATACCAATCATTAGTATACTGAAGGAAGATATTAAGAAGTTGGAATGAGCAGAGCAAAATTCATAATCCAGTTTTGAAGTGGCAACTTGGAAGTTCCTGCTTGCTGAGTGAGTTTGAAGCAGGTTTCCCAATGCACCTCAGACTAGTACTGTATAGTGTTTGTATGAAAGTAAATAATTTGCATTTCAGGTGTAATATCTTTTGTCTTTCTAGGTGAAAATTTGGCAAATTTATCATGATTCTTCAACAGCTCTTTAGATTTTCTTCCATTTTCCGTTCAGCCCTATCTGTCCAGTTGCGTAGAAATATTGGCTTTTCTGCCATTGCATTTAATAAAGCAAAGGAACTTGATCCTGTACAGAAGCTCTTCTTGGACAAGATTAGAGAATATAAAACCAAGAGCCAGTAAGTTAAATCATCAGTTCATTTATATGAATAACTACTTTTATTACTCACACTTCCTGCAAGGTATTTTATAGTATTATTTAAATGTCAGGTATATGTGTTTAATATGAGATAATATAATGATTTTTTTATTTACTATTTTGTTTGATGAAACCCATAGATTGAAAGATCCTGGGATTATGGATTTAATTATATATAGGTTAAGTTATATAAAAGTTTTATAATACATTTTACAGTTGTTCTCTCTCCATCTACATGCCGCCGAATGAGATAATGCATACCATCTCTCTGACTTTCCACCCAGAGAGTCTGAGACTAATAAATGAATTGAAGGGTGAAAAAGCTCCTATTATCCATTATCTTCAATAAATGAACAAGTGTGTTTTTGACTCACATTGGGTTCACTTTGTCTAATTTTAGGACTTGTGTGAAGAATACATTGCATTTCAAGTCATATTTATGCAGAAATATTGAAAATTGAAAATGTTCCACTAACTTTTAAGCACCATCTATACCCTAATGTTGTACAATGACCTAAATATTGGATATTGTCCAAAGTAAATTTTGGAAACACTCTTTCAGGTTCCATGTTGTATTCCAAACATTCTAATTCACATGGAAACAGGAATTATTCCTTTGGAATCAAGAGTCTAAGTTTGCTATATTTCTTATTGATTTAAACTTCTATTTTTATTGTTTCACTAATTCTTGATTTTGCATCAAGATATGAAGTAAATATCACAGCTGACCTGTGCCATGCTATTTTTTGCTACTTCTAGGCCTAAAGACAGTTGATATTTGCCAAAGAGTCTATGATGTTGATCTTTAGACAAGCACGATAAGCCAATTACAAGAGTGGGTTCCTTTCTGGAAACCATTAAATCTACAAACCACCTGCCAAACCTGGTTTGCTCAACACACTCTACAACCTTCTTTTTACCTGCTTTAGTGCTCTTCCCTCAGCAATATTGGATGGATTTCATAAAATTCCATTTAATGAGAGAAATTGTCCCCATGGCAGGAATCTGACTTTAGTGCACGTAGTTCTTTATCCCTTTTAAGAGGACCTATGTGTTGGTATACTTATATTACCATCTAATAGAGATCAATGAGAGGGAAGTGTTTGTTTTTTAATTCTTAAACCAGAATTCTGCTTCTATGAACAGTATTCTTATGTGGTATGATAATTGTTATCAGCACTTATTGTCACAAGAAGGCTTAAAGTATTGTAATCTTGGAACAATGTCACAAAGTTCTTCTATTCTCTTGCTTACATTTTATTAATTTTGTTTTGCTTTCTTATATTTTGGTCTTTTTGTTTAATTCTTTCGTGTGTACATTTAAATTGGCAGGACTGTATGGTTTTATTATTGTTTTTGAGCCTGCTTTTATATGTTGCTTTAGGATTATACAGTGGATATAAAAAGTTAAAATGCCAGGTTTTGAGATGTAAAAAAATCAGACCAAGATAAATCACTTCAGAATTTTTTCTACCTTTATTATTAAGAGCCCAGACCAGAATCCAATTGAAAATCTGGGAAGTAACCTGCAGAGGGCTGTGCACAGGAAATGCCCTCACAATTTGGCAGATTTCGAGCGTTTTTTAAACGAAGAATGGGCAAAGATTCCCAAGGCAAAATGATAGGCTCCTACTCCAAAAGACTGCTTGCTGGCAAAAAAAAGCAAGTGCTGCAATAAAGAATAAAGATGTGCACCTCTATTCAACCACATTATTGTAAGTTTTTTATTATCATCTTCTCCCTAAAAGATTTCAATTTGCTTTTCAATTGGATTGTATAGTTTATATGTTATATTAAAGGTGAAAAAATGCTGAAGTGGTTTCTCTTGATAAGATTTTTTTACATTTCTAACACCTAACATTTTAACAGGGGTATGTAGACTTTCTATATCCAATATAGTTACTTTGTTGGTCACTGACCATAAAAGGCAACACTGATGAATTAATATATGATGGTGCATATGTTATTAATACATACACAATTCACCAATGGACTGCTTCAACTATAGCAGCAGGAACAAATGAGCAGGAAATATTACGTTTAAAGTACTTTAAGTTATCTTTCCCCCCCAAATAGTGTAGAAGTACAAACAATGTAGTCATACGTGACAGGTTATACTTTCTATAATGTTTCTAGTATCACCAAGCTTTGCCAACTTGTAAAATATCCATTGTAGCCTAGATTTATTTTCTGTTAGCCTATTCTGTAATATTACTAAATTTCCTCCAAGAAGCTTTCTTCCCTAATGTTATCTTCCGGGCAAATTGAGCAGGTACAGAATATCTGCAACAAATGAAGCAGGTTATCCATTCAAAAAATATCTGCTGTGGAACGGGTGTCTCTTTCATAATATGTTGTTTTACAATGGACATGGCTACTCCCAAAATGTAGTAAAATACAAACTGGTAAAGGATACTCCCTGCCAGAGTACTTTGTCAGATTCCCCCCCCCCCCCCACTTTTTTTAATCGATGCATATAACTATATAGATGCAAATACTGTACTTTCAAAAAATGTCTGTAGCCACCTAGTGGATGCATACTCGAAAATGAAATTGAGGCTGCAATTTTTCCTGGAAGCATGTTATTTTAAAATTAAAATTGTGGAGCAGGGGATCTGGTATATTTCAAGTAGGCATAGGGATTTTATGGTCCGCAGGCCACTTCCAGCCCATCAATTGTATTTGACCTGTGGCAACAGCAGAAGCAAGAAGAGTCCCCCCACAACAGGCCCAGTTTCTTATGTGGCCCCCTCTCCTGCTCCTAAGAGATATGTGTAGGGACATTGGTTCCAATAGGTGCCAAAGATGTCAATGGGTGACAAGTTGGAAACCCTATATATTGTGTCTGGCCTAAGATTGTTTTGCAATCAATTTAGGATTTCCTGATTAATCAATTTGTTAATGGCATTTTCCTATGGCTTTCTTCTCATAATTTAGCAGTTACGCAGCAAATCGTCAGGACAGGGAGGTGGGGGGTGATTTTTTTTCCAGATTTTGTTCTATTGTACTTTATTAATTTATTTGATTATTTTTGTTAGTTTTTATTGTTTTTTTATTTTTATTTTTTGTTTTAAATATGGTTTTACATTGTGTAACCTGCCTTGAGTCACCATGGGCGAATTGGTGGCAATATAAATTAAATAAATAAATGATCTGTAAGCTATTATGGATATATTTATGTATTATAAATCTGGTTATCAGTTGTCATTCTGTTTGCTTAAAGTAAATAAATTGTAGATTTCCAAAAAAATTAATTTGGAATTTTTATACAGGGATCTTTTAATAAGATGTTACCAGGTTTTGTATTTCTTTGAAAAATAACCGTTCTTGTATTTTTAGAAAAGCTGGTGGCCCTGTTGATGTTGGTCCAGAATATGAGAAAGAGATGAATGACCAAACTGAGAAACTCACACGAGTCTATGGCGGAGGAGACATGACCAAATTTCCAGAGTTCAAATTTGAAGGTAAGGTTTTAGAAATGTGCCCATTACAGGTAGTCCTTGATTTACAATCATTTGTTTAGTAACTGTTTGAAATTACAACTACACAGAAAAGGTCACTTAAGATCAGAAAAGGTCACTTAAGATCAGTCATCACACTTACGATCTTGCAGCATCCCCAAGGTCATGTGGTCAAATTTTGGACACTTGCAAACTGGAATATATTTACAACAGTTGCAGCATCCTGAGTCATGTAGTTGCCATGTGTGACTTTTCCAGATGGCTTCCAACAAGATGGGGAAAGCTGGATTTGCTTAACATTCATGTGATTCATTTAACTTCAGTGATTCACTTAACAACCAGAACAAAACGGTAAATCAGACATGACTCACTTAACAATGCCTTGTTAGCAACAAAAATTCTGTTGTTCATTGTGCTTGTAATTCAAGGATTACCTGTATTGATGTATAATGAGATTAAAATGTGAAGTTACAGTTTTCTGATGGTTACAATATAATTATAGGCAATAGATTATGTGCAGCATTTCTGATTCAGAGGCAAAAATGTGCTTCAGGGTATAAATATCTTTCTACTATTCAAGCACCTTTACCTTTTCCTATATCACACATGGTTTCCTTAGTTGCTACCTTCTATGGTTGCTCTATGATCCCATTGAAAGATGTCTTCCTAGAGCTGAGGGAGAAAGTGAACTAGTGAAAAGTCACCCAGCTAGCTTCATGCCCTAAGGCAGGATTAGAACTCATATTCTCCTGGGTTCTAGACTGGTGCCTTAACCACTACGCCAAACTGGCACTCTATACAGACCTAGCAGGCAGTAAATAATACATTTGAATTCTAAATGTAGTTTAGTGTTTCTAAACAATCACTGCTCTGAATTGTTTTAAAACAACTCAATTACCAGATTGTAATTTCAATACATTTATGAAACATATCCATACTCAGTTTAAAATAAAATTTTAGAAACACATTTTCCTATTCTTGGCACAATAATCATCTATGATGTTTCCAACAATATCTATACACATTCCTACTTGGCATCTTTGTGTTAATTTTTACATCAGCTACAATCAATGTAGGGTTTTCTATTTGTTATGATACTTTGTGGAACTTCCTAAAATTCCTTTCTTTTATTATTTCAGGGGGTAGCTTGACTGAGAAACAACTCAGCAAGCTTTATTTTTGCATAATTCAATTTCAGTGATTCATACCTCTTGTATGAAAAAAAGTAGAATCCAACGTTGCTTTTTGATGTTGATGACTTGAACGTTTTATGCCATAGTATATCACAAGCAAATGCTGCATTAACAAGATTTTTTTTCTACTCTCAACAGACCCCAAATTTGATGAAGTTCAGAAGTGATGTGATCACGTTATATGAAGCATTAGGTTGGACATGTTGAGTTAGTCTGCAGTTATAACTTAAATAAACAGTTCAATGCTAACGGTGTGCACTGGTGTTTTGAATTCAATTAGACATACAGATTCTTATTCATCCAATATGCTTCTAAAAGCATATTACTAAATATTTCATTACAAATTAAATATCTTTTGTTTTTCTAATAAGCTTTAATTAGTAAACATAGTAAAATTTTTGGAAAATAATTTAAATAGTCCACATAGTTCAATCATGAGAAATTAGAATGTAACAGTAGTCTAGATGCCTAATAATAGCAATGTTTACTTAAATGATTAAAATGATATTTTTATACGCACCAGTGATCAATTACTTGGCAGCCTTTTTCTGGACTCCACATTTTTACAGTGTCTTTTAAGACAATACTTGCTTTTGAATAAACAGAAGGGTCATTACGATTGTAGATATTTTCATCACAAAGTCCATAACTTGCTGATACTGGTGTTTAGTAAATAATTACTTTAAAGTTAGGAAGCAAGCCTATAGTATGTAAAGGATATTAAAAACTGAATATTCTTTATTACCAATTTAATAAAGGAGTACATAATTTTTTAAAATCTTAATAGAAAATTATCCCCCCACCTTAAATGTAGACTTCATTTTGAGAACTGTGAAGTATGATCACTTATCATTTATTTTTAAAATTATATGGGTGCCAAATCAGGTATTTGTAGGACTTTTAATATAAAAGAGAGTTGTCAAAATGCAGTTTGTGATTTAAGTGTATATGCTTATTTTTTTTTTACATTTGTCATAAATTTGATTAAATTCAGATCTAAAAATTGAACATTATTTTTTATTCTAGCAAAATGCTGGTAATACTAAATGATGCATTGCTTTGTTAGGTGGCCGTGTTTTGCTTTCAAATTAAAAATTGTGGGGTATGTGCAAAATACTCTGACATCTATTGCATTGTTTAATAGTTACAAACACCTGAGTATCATGTCAAAACAATTTGTATGTGTGTTTGACAAAAATACATAAATGACCTTCTCAGACAAATAATAAAATAAAAATATGGTGGTAAAGAAAGTTACCATAATTTCAATATCATATATATGATTGGAAGCCATCAAAACTTTAAGCAAAATGCTTTTAAATAATATTTTTGACCCCATTTTACTGTAAGAAAAACCCCAACCTGAAATAATGGACAGAGTGAATTTGTATCTTTTGTCATATGGGTTGGGAAGCAGCCTATATATCCTCAGGTAATTCTATATACTTTTAGCACCCCCAAAATCATAACATTGGATTCCATTGCTATCTTTTTTTGTGTGTTTGGTGGAAAACAACTAAAAGATATAATGCTATATTTAGGTTTCATTTATTTTAATAACCAGTCCTCTTTCAAAGTTGAAAGTCCAATCATACAAATAGAAAAGTGCAGTCCTTTGTCATTGAGAGGTTGCCAGCTCCATTCAGTTCTGCAGTAGATTATACGCATATTTGAATAATGTTTCAGACTAAATAAGACATTTTTTGTCACATTTTTTTTATCACTACCTCACTTGATAAGTTGTTGTCTTGATCCTAGCTCTACAACAGCAACAAATATACCCTCAAATCCAAATTAATGATACGAATTGACAGTAATTTTAAAATCAATTTGTTAGAAATGTTTCTGCTTCATGAAATCAACTGGTTAGTATAAACTGAGACAGACTGATTGCAGTTATTTTTGTTCCTTGGCAATGATAGCAGCAGTTTTAGTGGTCAACCTCTAGAGAAAGACGAAAGAGCAAGCACCAAACTCTGTTTTGGAATAATATAGATAATTGTTTAAGGCTATTCCAGTCACAGAGTTTGTTTCAGAAAAGTGGCTTTGTAATTAGCCCCCTTAATTAGGCCAAAGTGCTATGTAATCCAGTTTCTGATCCTAGCGCCTAAGGCTTCCATCAACCTCATAGAGAAGTAGTAGCCTTCTCCTATAGTTTGTCTCCACAAACTAATACTCTATGTAAAAAGTTGGAAATAGTATTTGCTTATAACAACTGGTAGCCATTTTTACTCTTGTCTGAAATAAATTTGTCCAATTCTCATTCCATGCCATCCAAGTCAGTAGGATTCACATTAATTAGCAAAAATCCCCAAAATATTATTTTTTTGTCTGCATGGGATATTTTCATCCATATGTCACCAAAAGGTCATGGAGCTAATGCTGTCCGTGAGAAATGCCAATCTGTCCACTTTTTCATAGATTCTTCGATATTATAAAGCTGGTCATGGTCCCAGTGATTTCCTATTTTTTAATTCTGTAAAGTCTCAAAACACTGTTCCAATTTAGGAAATCTCTTGATAACCTTCATAAATTTGTTTGTTCTCTCACACACATTTTCTACTCAACAGTACCCTTTTGAGATCTAATAATCAGAACTCTACCGTTAATTCACTATTTCTTTACATGTAGGCATGTGAAACAGCAATGTTTATATTCTGCCAATTATTTTCACTCCTTTTTTAAAACAAGCAGCATCAGACAAACACTTTTTACAACTTTTACCACCTTTTAGCGATAGAATCTTGAAATCTGCCACCAGTTGTTTGTTGTTGCACCTAACGTTCTTTTTATAGAAGAGTTCAAACATCCCTTTGATATTTTCTGCAGCAAATTCTGATCCTCAGAAATCGACTTTCTTTTAAATAATAAAGGACTTGGTGTGCTTGAAATCCTAAAGGAATTAAATAATTAAAAAAAATCAAACAAGTTCTAGTGAAGTTAATATAATATTATTTGTAAACAACCAGTGGTCATGTATGTACTCATCACACTAGGAGGATTATATGTAGATATACAAGGAAAACTTTTTTATATAATCTTGAAACAGAAGAGTACAGATGTGCCTTTCTTTTCTCCTCTCAAATACATATATACATACATAATCCTCAAACTATAACAATGTATCTGATGCTACAAAAGTAAATATTTACTGCTCAACAAATATTAGGAGCACTATCATGCCTTTCATGTTGTAAAAGGTTACTAGCAACTTTGAAGCATTGGGGTCATTTTTATAGTAATCTGGTGCATGCATGTGAACTGGATTTATGGTAAATCTGATTTGCCATGAAAAAGTTAAGACACGTTGGCATGAATCCATAGCTTGTGGCCACTTTATGACCATTCGGGGTGTTCCTGGACTCAACTCCTGCTTGAGGAGCAGGTGGCAGTTGTGGCCAGGAGGGTCTTTGCGCAACTGCAGGTTGTGCACCAATTACACCCTTTCCTGGGCCAACAGTTCCTACTCATAGTCACTCATGCCCTAGTCACTCCTCATCTTGACTATTGAAACACGCTCTACATGGGGCTGCCCTTGAAGAGCATCTGGAAGCTCCAGTTGGTGCAAAATGCAGCGTCCCACATGGTTTTGTGCAGATCCTGGTGTGCACATGTATCACCTCCTGTGGGAGCTGCATTGGTTGCAGATTTGCTTCCGGGTGCAATTCAAGGTGCTGGTTGTCACCTTTAAAGACCTTTGTGGCTTGGGACCAGGTTATCTGAGGCACCATCTCTTGCCAGTCACATCTAGAGTGGGGAGGCAGGGAATGTAGCAGGTCCCATCCCCAAGGGAGATACACCTGGTGGGACCCAGAAGAAGGACCTTCTCCATGGTGGCCCCTCTCTCTGGAACATCATTCCTCCAGAGATTAGAATGGCCCAAACTCTAATACTCTTCCGGAAGGGCTGAAAATGTGGTTTTGTAGCAAGCCTAAGGAACCCAGAGCAAGATGGAACCCATTAAATGACTCGTGTGATCTGCTGTCATTGGGGCAGGGGTTGGGAGTTGAGGGGTGATTTTGTTATATTGTACTATATTAATTTACTTAATTCTTTTTGTTAATTTGTATTGTTTTAAGTGTGGTTTTATATTCTGTAAGCCGCCTTGAGTCACTACGGGTGAATAAACAATATAAATTAAATCAATCAATCAATAAATTAAATATTACTAGCATCTCTGTGGATATCTGCCTAATATCACATTTTCTGCCAGTGATCATGTATGAGAGAAATATAGCAAAAAAAAAAAAATTTCTAAAGGTAGACTTTACATCATCTTAAAACCTAAACACATTTGGCATGGCCACTATTGTTGTTCTGTACTGTGTGATAATGATCTTATGAAAGGGCAAGTATCCAGAGTCAAAAACTTCAATGGGCCTTCAGACTAAAAAATATATTTCTACACATTAGGTAGGAAATTATATAAGCTAAATTATGTTTAAACATAAAATAGCCATCCGGACCCTTTTTTTCTCTCCTGAAATATTAGTGTTCAGTTGAAGGGATACCACACTTGATCTTTGCCAAAGGCTGAGAAACATTTGAAGGGAACATTTATGTTTGGGAATATTCAAAATCAAGTCTCATCTTCTTTACCTATTCCAGTGGTGACTAACCTTTTCGGGCTCCTGTGCCGATAATTGTGCGCATGCTTGCGCTCGCATGCCAGCACCCAGAAGGCAATGTGCGTGGGTCCACCCACACCCCTGCACATGCGCGTGCAACCACCCATGTGTGCCGCACATCTCTGCGCATGCATGAGCGACCTCCGCGCACTATGCATTTGCACATGAGCAAGCAACCCCTGCATGCACCGTGCATCTCTGCATGCACACGTTTCTCGTGCCCCCACCCCACCCCCGCGCATGTGCACCAGATACCTGACAATCAGCGGATGGACGGGCGGCACGCACATGCACAGTAGACCTGCGCTGGGCAAGCTTGCGTGCCGGCAGTAATGGCTCTGCATGCCACTTCCAGCACTCGTGCCATAGGTTCACCATCATGGATCTATTCCTTCTCCAAATTCAGCAAGAATATATTACTAGATTCAATTGACTTGTCCAGTTTTTAGCACCTGCATTTTATATTACAGTTGTGTGAAACACGCAGATAGATGCAGAATACTCACTTTTTCATTTTCTGTACTTCTGTACTTGGAATTCGTGTTCCTGCTCGTGAAATTAAAAAAAACAAAACATTTACATCTGATCGCTTCTGGTCGATTAACTCTATATATCTCGTGTGTATA